GTCGCCCAGAGTGAAGATTTAGTCGCATATGCGAGTGATTTACTCGCAATGTAGAGGGTTGTGTTTGGTATCTGCAGTCAGAGAAGATGAGAAGATTCACAATATAGTTAAAATTGGAAGGGAATACAGAGGACGTTAAAAATGGGGAGCAGTGTATTTCACATGGTGTAACTAATAGTGACGCAAATGCATGATTTTATGCCAGGTTATTCTAAGGTCTTCCATGCTAGTTTGTTTTCTATGAAGTAACACTGTCATTTTGGTGTAATTGTGTCAGTATTTGTCAGTAGTTCCCACTTTATCGTGCCGTCCTAAACACTGAAGTCAACGTGTACTCACAATTGGAAGTTGAACAGTTGAAAATGAACTGTTGCTTTCACATTTTTTTCTGATTGAATATTGTTTCACTCTGAAATACATCGCATTACCGAACAAGTGGGTTGGAAATGCCAACATTGCCTTTATTTTTAATGCTTTACAGGAGAACTATTTTGAAAAACCTTTTTTATTGACTTTACTGAGGATCTTGTCAACCATGCTACACTCTAAAAAATGCTGGGTTGTTTCAACCCAACTTTGGGTCAAATATGGACTAACCCAACCGTTGGGTTAAATTTTTACATTAAAATTTTAACCCAAAAGTTGGGTTAGTCCATATTTGACCCAAAGTTGGGTTGAAACAACACCGCATTTTTTAGAGTGTATGTGGAAAAAAAGAGATGTTTTTGCTAAATACAAGATGACCATTAATTTAATCAGAAATAAAACTGAACAGTTAAAAAGTTATCATTTAAGCTGGTAGTGATAAAAGGCAGACTGTTAAAATGTTCCTAGGACCTTTCAGACTACACTCAGTTTCATTATTTTTTCTTCATATGGTCCTAGGACTGCCATGGAGCAAAAAATACTACTCATGTCAAGGGCCTAATAATTCAGCACCAACAGGTTCTCTCCCCATATTAAGGGACAGCTCTAGAGGGCAGAGGTTTGGCTCCGTCTGCAAGTCTCTGTGGTATTTTACCATAGTCGTGACACAGCAGACACAGACTGGAATTTGTTCGTTTATCCAGACTGGAGCCGGCATGACCAAACCTTCACCTCCAACACTAAATTTACATTCGTCTCATTCCTTAGCCACAGTCCACCAATCCCACTGTCTGCTAAAGCAAGTCTTCTTCATATTAACCATGCAGGTGTTCCCGTCTGGTTGTAGCTGTTGACTAAATCTATTGTAGCTGCTGACTGAGAAAGAGCTGGATAAACTAAAGGCCTCAATAGCAGACGTGATCTTGACCTCCTGTCACTATGCTCCATGACGTGTTCGTCAGCTGACGCCGATGGTCCTAACTATAACCACTGTGACTCCACAAAAGAGGTGTCCAACTCTAAAAATATGTTGTAGCTATGGTGAGGCAGGCATTGTCCCACCCCCATACTGCTTCAGATGGGTCAAAAATAGATCTTGAGGGACTATTTCTGACCAACTGAAGAATAGGCCAAGCAGGAGGGCTTCCATTCCCACTTGCCTCTGGCAAGAAGGAGTGGAATTCAGAGAGTTTCCAATTGCTCTAATGAGTCAGCTCTCCCCATTTCCACTGAGAACACCTGTGTCTCCAAACTCTAGCAGCCAATGTACCCCCACAGCCCATATCTTCCACACTTCTTGTTCTGTCAATCACAGCTTGACTCTCAGAGAATCAACTTTTGGACTGAGTTGGAGACCTAGGAGTGAAAGGTTTACTTTAACAATGCCATGAGTTAAACAGTAAAATTTTCTTTCCACCTTTATTTGAATTAAAGGGTTAGTTCACCCCAAAATGAAAATTCTGTCATTAATTACTCACCCTTATGACGTTCCAAACCCGTGAGACCTCCGTTCATCTTCGGAACACAGATTAAGATATTTTTTCATGAGAGTACCACAACGCATGCGTGTGGTGCTGCTGACGCAGGAGCCGGTGTTCTGACGTAGAACTCGGATGTACTGCGCCTTGTTTCAAGCAGAGTAATGCACACTCATGCGCCATGGTTCTCTCATGAACACGCGTCAAAGACTGACACGGAAGAGAAGAAATTCTTTCCGTGGAAGAAGATGAATAAACTCATTGTTTTTGTGTTCTTTGCACACAAAAAGTATTCTCGTAGCTTAATAAAAATGAAAGTTGAACCACTGATGTCACATGGACTATTTTAATGATGTCCTTACCTTTCTGGGCCTTGAACATGGTAGTTCTGTTGTTGTCTATGCAGGGTCAGAAAGCGCTCAGATTTCATCAAAAATATCTTAATTTGTGTTCCGAAGATGAATGAAGGTCTTTAGGTCTTTGGAACGACATGAGGGTGAGTAATTAATGACAGAATTTTCATTTTTGGGTGAACTATCCCCTTAAGGAGTGACACCTCAGCCCACATGCTCCAACATATTTAGGCTTTTTAAAAGAAGTTTCCTATGCTAATTCTGCATTTATTCTATGACAAATATGGTAAAATAGTAATATTATGAAATAACATTAAAAATTAATATATTTTGAAATGTCATTTATTTCTGTGATGAATTTTCAGCAGCCATTACTCCAATCTTCAGTGTCAAATGATCCTTAAGAAATCATTCTAATGGTGCTCAAGATTTTTTTTTTTTTAATTATCATTTTTATCAATGTTGAAAACAGTTTGTGGCCTTTCAAATTTCTTAAAACTGTGATACACCATTGAAATGTTTGTAAAATTAAAAAGAAAAGAAAAAAAAGTAAAGGAAATAAAAAATAAATTTTTATTCAGCAAAGACACATTAAATTGGTCAAAAGTTAAAAGTAATAAATTGATCAATCAGTAATAAATGTGAGACTATTGTTGATAAATAATAAAAATAGTGTTTTTGTGTATATTTCCATCTAGATAAATTTGGTTGTTTTCCATTCAAGCCAAATGTGAAAACTTTTTTAAAATTATATATGTGTGTGTGTGTGTGTGTGTGTGTGTGTGTGTGAGACCCTGAACCACAAAACCAGTTTTAAGTCGCTGGGGTATATTTTTAGCAATAGCCAAAAAAACATTGTATGGGTCAAAATTATCGATTTTTCTTTTGTCCCAAAAATCATTAGGATATTAAGTAAAGTTCATGTTCCATGAAGATATTTTGTAAATTTCCTACCGTAAATATATCAAAACGTAATTTTTGATTAGTAATATGCATTGCTAAGAACTTCATTTGGACAACTTTAAAGGCGATTTTCTCAGTATTTTGATTTTTTTGCACCCTCAGATTCCAGATTTTCAAATATCTTCCAAATATTGTCCTATCCTAATAAACACATCAATGGAAAGCTTATTCATTGTATAAATGTATGTATACAAATTTTTAAAAATTGACCCTTATGACTGGTTATACACATATATTCAGCTATGCCCTAACAGGAATACATTACATTTCAAAATATATTATATTTTATATTACAGCAGTCATTACTCCAGTGTCACATGATCCTGCGGAAATAATTCTAATATACTGATTTGGTGCTCATTTGTTAAGAAACATTTTTTTATTATTATCAATGTTGAAAACAATCTGTGCTGCTTCATATTTCTGATGACTGGGATATACCATTCAAAAGTTGAAATTAAAAAAGAAAAGAAATGTGTGTGTGTGTGTGTGTGTGTGTGTGTGTGTATATATATATATATATATATATATGTGTGTCTGTGTGTGTGTGTGTGTGATATATATATATATATATATATATAGCTTTCACATCTATTTCCATCTTGTAGATAAGTTGTTTTCCATGCAAGCCAAATCTCTCAAAATGAATCTGTGACAGTGAGGCATTTGTTAAGCATGATTATATGAGGTTAGTATAGGCTGCAAATGATAAAAATGTTTCTGAGTTATCAACGAAAACTTCTGTGGTGTAAAAATAGGGGATTCTGTTTATAAAGTAAGCATGGAACTGCATTACATGACACACTATTATAATTCCAGCTGCTACTTTTAGCCACCTTTAAGACAAAGTTGGCCTATATTTAGCCTATTAAGCGGATGCTATCCAGCTCGAGGCAGATATTTTTACAGGGGTTCTTGGAGCAGCCTTACAGCTGCTGAGATTTACAGAATATTTTCCACACTGAGTGCTGGGAGTATATAAATATCAAGCTCCTACAACCCATTGACACACAGTGCATGACAGTAATGCATTGCACTTGTTACCCCAGCACCAGCACTGCGCTCTTCTGCTCTGGTAAGGAGGGGCCAAGAGTTGGTTATATCTGTCCACTTGTTGTGGAAAATAAGTTCCCCAGAACAGGTGCAGCACGGTAACATTTAGAGGCCTGTTCCTGTCAGCCAGCAACCCCACCCTATTTTCCACCCTCAATCTAGGCTTGTTTTCCACCACAGGTTGATCACTGCATTTGTGTTTCACTCTGTGCCCTTTAACCTCTGAGGTCAAGTTGTGGCACCGCTCCAAAGCACTGCATCTCTCTTGTGTTGGTGCTGCGCTTCAAACACTTTCTCCTGACACTTCAGCTAGGCCATAAATCTCACACATGCCCAAGCTTCAATGTCATTTTCCTGGTAATCTAAAAGAAAGCTAATATTCTTACTTATTTAGTGTAAGCCATCCAACATCACTTGGACACTCACAGATGTTTATTAGGAATTATCTTTTTATATATATTATTATGAATTAATCAAGAGTGTGGATTATCTAAGCCTAGTTTATATTTTAAATGTATGATGTCTTTAAAGAAATATGAAAATGACACAAAACTCATTGCTAAACAC